CAGCCAGCCGGTGGAGGTCCTACCCTGAGCTGCTGACAAAGCTGTGGTCAGGCCCACACACTGCCAGTCCTGCAACACCTGCTGCAACCATCAGAATTGGAGCAGGAGTAGCAAAAGTGAAACCACGCAGAATTCCTTTCAGCACTGCCTTCCATCCGCATTCCTCCTCCCACTCACCACCACCCAGACAGATAGCCACTTCCTTTCACTGGTGCTCACTCCCATCTGCTCTGGCACTGCATGCACTTGCTCTTCTAACCCCTGCACCCACAATTCCTCCTGACTCCACTCCTTTCCACGCACCTTATTTTTTTCTTTTTAGCAGATACTCCCTCTGACAAGAGCCAAACACTTTAAGTCTGCCAGTTACCACTTTATTTCCACACCTATCTCCACACCCCATCCACAGCAAAAGAGAATAGCAGAAGATGAATCTGCCCAAGACATCTCTTTCCAGCAATTCATTCACCTCCACCGGTAAACTGTGCTTTGCCCCTGAGCATTCACTCCTTCCACTAACTGAAAAGAGAAAGAATTAGCAGGAAAAAAAGGAATTAAAATGACATATGAGACAGTGAGAAGGAATGCAGGATAGTGAGTTTCCATGTCCACCTTGACAAAGGAATGAGAAACAGAGGGTTTGGAGAACAGAAGTACAGCTAAACATGAAGTACAGTAAAAATAAACCCAGACAGGGCAAAAATAAAGTAACAACAGAAGGAAAAGGCCTGGTGGATTGAAAGCACAGATAAAAGACAATGAAGAGACAGAGATGATATGACAGGCATTACAATCCAGCCAGCAATATTATGCTTTTATTACTGACAAAGAACATACGTAAGAGGTATGATTAGGAAACACAACATATGAGTAGAAGCAAGCAAGCATGTGAACATAAGTGAAGTTTTCTGGACTGTTATACTGCACAAAGATGACAGTACACAGATCCCATAATATTTACCAGCTACACCTGGAACAACTGCTAGAGTCATACCAAGATCAGCTAAACCTCCTTATAAGGGTATCCCTCCTCCCCCAATAGAGCATTACTTCAGGCAGCAACGTGATAGAACTATACTGCTTCCTAGTTCACAGCAGCATAGATGATGGCACCACAGTCCTTTCCATAGGAATCAAGCCCCTGACCAAAGGCAAAGACAGCTGCAGTGATTTCCTGTAATCCCAGGCAAATCTGAACAAGGTACTATGTATCTGTAATGCATATAAAAAGTCAACTCTGCTTTTAAATTACCTGCTCTGGAAGGGATTCTAATCAGACTCACATGGACTAAAAAGTTATGCTAATGATTCACATACATTGAGCTGTGCTCCTAGAAAAGCATTGCTTAATTCCCCTTTCCAAATTAATTTTAGTATATGAAATATAGAACATCTTCATGTGTGTGAGAATTATATAGGATTGCCTATTTTGATTAGCTACCTAAGCTTTCCAAAAGTCAGTTTCTGTTTATAACTGGATTTATACTGAGTCGCATGCTTAGGCTAAAATTAATTTTGAGGTCAATGTCATTCTTTGAGAAAAACTAAACAACACAACCATTTTTAAGGAACAAAGCTGCTTTTAATCTGTTTCTTCTATTCCTTGGGGAGTTTATCTACCCCTGACCATTAATAAGGCTGGTCAGCAGGAAGAGAGGTGAGATTTTAATCATTAACATGCTGACAAAATTTGAAAGGACAGCCCTCCCCTCCCCAAATGTTTTGTGTACCAAAACCAGGTTCATGAAAGTGCCAAAACAAAAGTATATGCAAGCTGAAGTCTTTTAGATGTCTGCTATACGTCTACAAAATAAATACAATACACACTGCATCAACTGAAGAAAGATTCCCCAAAGCAAGGAATGGTCTATCAAGATGGTTCAGTATGTAGGTTCAGTTAATCTTCCTAAACATTGATTTTTAGAAGCAAACTTACCTGTATTACATTCATTACCATGGATATGGGAGCAACTAAATTTTAGTTAAAAAGCGGCTTCAGAGGAAACCATGAAGTTTAGAATAGCATGTGCCAAGATTCAGGTAATTTCAAATTCACCCAGTAATGTCCATGAACTCCTGGGACTGCAATACAAAAGACTCAAAAAGATGGATTATCTCAGCAATTCATGTGAATAAACACAGTTCTGAAGTTTTTGCCATGAGCTCATACTTTAAAAAATACTCTTTCAACAAAACTGAACATTAAAGATGATCAGATCACAAATGGACTGGAAAACAGCAAGATATATTTAACCAATAATTTGTGCAAACTATTTTGATATTCCTGGACATTGATATACTTCTGTGATAAGGGCATTATAAAAAAAATGAGAGCTAAAACTCTAGATCAACTGAACAATTTTATGGGATAAGAGACTATCACAATCTGTGTAGGCTTTTGGTCTTCAAGCCTTTTTAAGGATTACCTACTGATCTGGATAATTGTTGGCAAAGTTCTGTATAGTAGTATAGTCAAGGCAATGGAGCATGTGTATTTATGTCCAGACTCAAGCATAACTACCAGGCTCTAGTAGCCACAAATTCCTAACAAATTAATACCTGGATTTTCTCCTTGGATTCATATTAAACCTAAAGTCTTGAGAACAGTTTTACCAAACACGAGAACAGCAGGAAGTTATCAATTATTGTCTGTAAGACATGAGTATGCCTCTGTCTTCAGGGTATAAAACCTACTCAAGCAGCAAAAGTCTACAGCATTCAAGCAGAAAAAAAAAATCTACAGCATATGAGCTCTGAATAACACTACAAGAAAATAAGATTTTCCTCGAGTTAAAGAGAAAGTAGGCTGTATCTTTCAAATCTATGGGTCCTGAGGTCCATCCCCCATGTTGCACGTATCTGCTTACATGAATGTTGGAAGCTACTGCTTGCAGCTATTTCTCAGATGAGACTAGGACATCTCAAAGTGAGATAACAAGGTAGTATTATGTATGACAAACTTGCAAGTGTTACACTGTATTAGAGCACAAGGAACTCGAGACTATACACCAAATACTTCCATCTTATTAGAGCTAAAGGAGAATCTCAAGTAACCAGTGTTTTCTAAAGCTGAAAAATACCAGACCATTCTTAGTTTAAGACCAAATCCTTCAGCAGGTGGAATACATTACAATGGAAGCCATCAACTCCTACCTGGACAGAAGTCTGTTTTGGTACTGGTCAAGTAAGAAATGGCCTGATATCTCAGCCCGTTCTAACAGGCCAGTGAATACTCCTCTGACTATTGCAACAGTCAGAGGCACCCAATTCCTCATACCAAGAGCAATCCCTCTTGTCCAGATAATTAATCTGCTGGTACCAACAATAAAAACCAGGCATCCACCTCTCCCTCCTTACTTCTTCACCCTGGCACTTGTGAGGTCTTTTCTAAATTAATTCAACTCACTAAACTGATAAAGAAACAACCTGGCCAAAAAAACAACCCAAACAAAACAACCCAAACCAAGGCCCCATCACCCCACCCCACCCCCACCCAAAAAAAACCCAGCAAGATACCCAACAGCTTTCAGTCATTGCAGGTAATCACTGGGACTGCAAGTATTGCCACAGCAGTTCACACATCCTTACACTCACAAGTTAAAGTACTTCAGAGAACCACTTCCTAGCCATGCATCCTCTTCCTCTTTCATGGGGCCAGAGGGTAGTGTCACCTGGTATAAAAGGGCTGGAGAGGAGTGAAAGGTTCCCCAGCGTCCTACCCCACTGTCCCAGCAACAAAAAATAATACTAATTTCCTGATCACTTAAGTATGGCCTCAATGACGGATGCCAATGCAGAGGATTATCCTGGGTCCACCCTCCCACATCTACAGCACAGAACTGAATCTGTACTAGGGCTTTGGCAGCCACACAAAAAGCTGGATCAGAGAACTGATCTGGATGAAAACCCACCACGTTTTCATTTATTTTTTCAAGTCAGTTTTCAGATGTATCATACAGCTCTACAGAGCTGAGGGCTGGCACACAAAAGCCAAAGAAAACCCTTGGCTCAGAGAAGGTGGGATCAGCTCCCTCCACAGCAGCTCAATGCTTAGACTAGCTAGAAGTGGTTACAGAGGTGTTCCTTGACCTCTATCAGCCATGGAAGGGAGGCCTGCAGTCTCTCCTTGTGCCCCCTGGCTACAGCACAGTAATGGAGCATTTGCAAAAGCAGAAGGTAAACATCCCCTGCTCAGGCACACAGTTTAAACTGCAGTCTAGCCCTCTGCTTCCAAAACTAGCTCTGTTTTGTTATTCACAGTAACTAAGAAGGAAGGGCTTCTCTGCACATTCACCTGAAAAAATCAAGATGACAGCACTGTGAAATACTCTATTAAGTTGACAGACTTCTCATGTATGTTTTTGGCTTGTTATACAGTTCTGAGCTTGATAATTGTAAACAAAAACAAAACTGACATAAATAAAGGATTTTCTCTCTTTTTTTCATGGCATAACTCCTGGAATCATGCCATATTTGGAAACAACAGCTCCAGAAAGTTAGTGCTTCCATCAACCTGGACCTCCACAGGGAGCTGATAGGTTGGAAAGTCCTGCTCCTGAGCAAGAGATCCAAGATAGGAATTACTTATCAGCCACCTGAGCTAGCACACAGCACACCAAGGGACACGTCAGTAATGAAGGAAGGAGACTGGAAACCCTGCCAGTATTGCTGCTTTCTTTTAATACAGTCCCATGAACACTGGTATTGAAAAGGATACAGGAAAAATCAAAGTGAAGTGAAATGGCATATTTAAAAGTTTAAAATGTCATCAGACAATCACACTACTAAGCTAATCAGTTACAAAAATTATCAAACCAAAAACGTTTGACAAACCTTCAGAAAACGTCCCAAACAATACACACCATCATTAAATAAACCGGCAAATTTTAGGAATGCTAATCAGAAAAATACTTTAAGTACTTGATGTTATGATCCTTTACAAAAAGGGAGTATTTTCAAAAATAACAAAGTGTATTTGATTCAACATTAGAAATACTTACAACTACTCCACTCTTGGTGACAGTTTCTCGGTATGTAAAATTGCACACTGCCCAAGCTAGGTAATATGTGGACATGAGCGGGGTCTGTGAAAAGTGATCTGTAACCCATCCATCTTCTTCAAAGACAGAAGTTTCAACTGGCATGTTGGACAAAGATAAGTAAGTTGCTTGATGCCTGATGCTGATTTTGAAAGTGGCCTTGTAGATGGGCTCATCAAAGCAAGGAAAGGCTTTTCTGGCATGAGTAGGAGAAAACTGTGTAACACCAAGAAACCTGTAAAAGAAGCAAGCAAGAAAAAAAAAGCCATTACTAACTGTGCACAGCATTTGATTCATGGATGTACCATATAAGATACTGCTTGACTACTGTGGCTTAAGGGTGGTGAAAAGAAAAAAAAAAAAAAAACTGTACAAAGTATAGTGTTTGAACACTGCTTTATCACTTCCTTACTACCTATAGTGCAACACAACTGATATGTTCCTACAAATTTGCAGACACCACACTGACATTAAAGAATCCCTTGCCTCATAGCAAGCTTCAGGTTCTAGCAGCAGTTTTGTTCATCAATACATGCAAAAAAATTAGCCAATATTGGTTGTACGATATAAAGCAAGTAAGCACAGTCCTCGGTTCAAACTAGGATTTAACAGACTTCAGGGAGTTCAGTCTGCCCTCCATCACTGACAGGGCACTTCACCTTTCTTTGGACATGAAAACTTACGGTCACATAGTGCACTCAAGAGGGTCATTGTTTTCCACTGCTGATTACTTCTGTACCGCTTGCATGTAGGTCTGAGACACACTACTATACAGCACTGCTGTGACTGCAAGACCAAAAACTCATTCTGTGAGCTTTGCAGAATTACAAATATAAGCAACAATTAAACAAGCAGAGAATAGTTCACCGTTGTTCTCCATGTGATTTTTTTTTTCTGATGTATTTTATAGAGAACAAATTAACATTTTCAGCTAATGGGTCAAATTATGAAAAAAATCTGTGAAGGAGGAAAAAAATATTTACTATGACAGTGTATAGAACGGAAAGGCTTTAGTTTGACAGTAAAATCTGTAGCTCTTTTCTTTGGAACAACAGAGATTTTAATCCAGATGGAGAATAGGAACCTTTCTGGATAGAGACATATTTACACATTTGGAGAAAACCCATGTGCAATGATCCCTTTGCAGAAACAAGAAGCTACAATTCAAAGGCTGAATTATGGGGTTTGATAAGAATATTTACTGGCGGCATGCAGAACGAGAAAATGACTATGAGCCAACTATGCAACTGGAAAGGTAGCACATACGTAGGCTTTTTGAGTGGTATTGATTCACGTCTCACTTTCCAAGGTTCCATCAGTGAAAATAACCATGCAATTTTAGATACCAGGTAAACATTTATCAGAATTTTAGAGGTTGACTAATCATCTGTTATTCCTCTGGAGGAAAGAGGATGGGTGGATAGATTTGATATAATGAAAACGGTGGCACCTATTATTAATCAGTCTAGAAGCATTATTCTGCAGTATGATACTAACACCAAAGGAAAAAGAACATGTAGTCTATAAGGAAAATAAGGTATCTAATTAACTTTTTCTCAAACTTCTTGCAGATTATACATATTTTGGAGCATTGTTTTACAAAAAAAAAAAAAAGAATAAACTTCTTGAAATGCTATATAGTGCATCTGTGCGTGATAGAGAACTAGATGTTATGTTTTCCAGGGAAATTTCCAGGAAAATTATCACCTCTTTCAAATAAGGCTAAATTTTTTAAAACGTGAAAAAAATTTTCACCACTGAAGCAGTTACCATTGGTCTTTTGTCTAAAATAAAAAGCCTTATTTGGCTAGAAATTACTGAAGGAATTAATCACATCACATTTTTCTTGTCCATAAAACATGGATTACTAAAATCATAATTCTGCATAAAGCTGGTGCCAGGTATTCCAGTCTTAATCCAACAAAATTCCATATTCTCAGCGGAGCTGCACTACTGCAACAAAGCCAAATGAGCCAATTAAATGAATCAAAGCAATTTAACTTACATGCAAAGTATTTCAAGTGGACCTGATTCTGCATTCTAGGCATACTCTACACAGCTACAAACATCGACAGAAGCTTCAAATGAACACGAAAATCTGTACTGGCCTGTTACTAATAAAGCAAGAATAATGAACTTTCCTCTGCAATTAACAATTTTAATGAGCTCAGACACACATGTAAATGCATAGTTAGGGAATACTGCATACATCTGACACCCTCTAAATAAGGAAGTGGGGTTTTTCACTCCACTTCTTGCAGATCCTATCAGTAGTCTTCTAACACTTATGTTTTAGACCATTGAAACAATCCCTTCACCAGGCTAATAGAACTCTATAAACTCCGCATCTTCTGCACTCTTGCAGATAGATATATCCACATACATGTAACTGGACAAGCACTGGGCAGTCAATATTTCATATTAAAAATACATCAACTACCAATTAGAGTGATATTTATAAGGTGCATTACTATCAAACATCGATTTGCTTAACACCAAAGAAAAATGTTAAAAACTGCTTCCCAAAGACTAAACTCTTAAACGTTTAAAAAAACAACAACAAAAAAAACCCCACCCAAACCCAAAACATTGTCCACCTATTTCTCTCCGTGTTAGGAGACAAAAACCAAGCAAAACTTCTATAGCATGCTAAAAGTGAAGAGCAGGCTGAGAATTTCATCCATCTCTCTCCACACCTCTCTGGGCACTGACATTTTTTATCTCCAATTCCCCAAAATATCACCATAAAAAGTTGTACTTCTGGGAATGACAGCCTTGCAGCCTGTCTTCTCAGCATACCCACGGCAGTAATTTGCAGGTGTTTTAATTCCACCTCATCTATTAAAGGAAGACATGTGTTTCCTCAACAACCTATCTATTTTGACATCTTAGTTGTTATAAGATGGAAGAATATGTCTGTTTGTTTTGTCTGCGTGATGTAAGATTTTTTTTTTTCCTTTTCATTTATGCCAAAGTTTGATGTTCATTTAAACTACGCGTGCATATACTTACAGTACTCTACAGTAGCTCTGTATTAAATGTCTGTTGATTACTGCCAGTAAATTCTGGCACATAATGCAAAGTAAATTTGTAGCATATCACTTGCATTTTACATTTCAATTAAAGTAGCAAAGATTGCAGTAAGAAAATAAATACTTTTATGCGGCTATCAACATTTCAGGCTGATTTATGACTTTCACCTGTGAAGACCACAGAAAATGAACTAATTTAAGAAAAAAATTATGAAGTGAAGGCATTACTATGTTTGTGAAGCCTCGCAGTTCGCCAGAGTTATTCACCCCTCATGTACAACAAATGTGAAAAATGATGGTTTAGACCCATTTATGGCAACTGCTACTCCAACAAGGTTGCTGTATTTTAATCGAATATAAAGATGTCAAAAAGTTAAAGCCCTGTTGGAACACCAAGGTCTCTCAGAGCATGAGAAGCCTGTCTTTCATAGTAGAAGCCATCCATGTTTAAGGACTACAAATGGTTATATGTATTACATTAAAAATTAGTTATTAATCAAAATGCAAATTGCAACACTGCAAGAGCATGCTCGGAACAAAGAAGTGCCCTGGTATAGAATGTGTATTATTTATTTTAAACTTTAAGTGAATCGTTAAGCCTAAGACACTGGGAAAAAAGCGTACTTCTATTAAACACCTTAAACTATAGCCAGGCATTGATTACAGTTTTAAAAACGTTTTACTGAAAGAAATATAAATGAGCCGGTGTAAAGAAAAAAATGCCACCGATTTCAATATAACAATGCTACCTTACACAAGGTAAGGATCTTGCCCACTATGATGATTTCAAGTACATAAAAATGAAGCAACTTGTTTCTGAAAGGTTTCACAGAGAGTACTGGGAAACACATTTTACTATCGCCTTCCACACTGTGTCTTAAGCTATCTTGATGATTCAAAAAGCAAACAGGACTTTTTTTGTTGTTTTTTAAATCCTAACTGGGGCATCAGTACTGAAGGGTGGTACAGTAACTTTGGAGAAATGTCACTGCCACACCTGTTTGACACTTCAATTATTCCTAAAGCCTAAATACACAAGAAAAACACTTAAATACTTTCATGGGTTTGTAAAGTGAATGATACCCCCTGCTGCTAACAGTATTTTGTTTTCAGATTTGCCCAATTCCACGCAAGTCCATAAGAACTTCTGATTACCCCAGTCATTCACCCCTCCATGATGAAAGGCATTTACCCACATCTTTTCCTACAATCATCTTTTTTCAAATTTCCATTTTATTTCACTGCAATGATAAATTGCACAAACTTAATTTCAATCCCGCTTGCAATTCTAACATCAGGCTGTTTAAAATCGTCAATAATCACAGTAATGAAACTATGTTTTAATAAAAGGGCTATTGATTTAATTGAGTTGGTAAGAACTCTTTTTCTGACTTGTATTTTTGCCCAGTTCCTCCAACTTTAAACTCTGCTTCACTTTGCAGTACAGAACAGTAAGAGAAAACCTGACACTTCACAAATGTTTCAAGAAAGGGCAGCTTTAAAAAAACCTAATACTACAATGATAAAACATGCCAAAACTATCCAGAAGTCCGTCCCATCTTTCTTCGCTATTACAAATCCTAATTGTGGTTAGAGAAAAAAACTACTTTAAAAAAGCCTCTGTAACTGCCTCAAAGGGGGCCTCCACAGCGACCGTGCCTACCGTAACAAGGGCCTCAACAGAGACCCAAGGGCTACAATAAGAAGAGTAAATAGAGATCTGCATGAGAACAGTGAAAACTGGCCAGGTTTGCCCTGTCACGGGGTGTAAACTGCAGCGATCCGGCTGCACCAGGTGGAGTAAACTATTCGCGTTACGTGAAATCACATCCCACCACCTTTTCCTTCAAATAATGAAATAAAAACAAAACAGCAGAGAAGTTCTGCTCCCCTACACGCTGCTATCTGTAACCCGGCGAGGACACACGGCAGCCGGGCACAGAGGCAGCGTTCATCACACCGACCCGCAGCCTCCGTTCCGGGCTGCCGCGGCAGGTGCGGAGCCGCCGGTGGGTTTCACTCGTGCCACCCCTGGAAGCTCACTCGCTCCCACCGTCCGTTTCTAAGCCGCGCTGGGGCACCCCCTGACCCGCCGCCGTCCCCGCCCGAGGCAGGGGGGCGGGCGCAGGCGGAGCGCTCCGCTCACCTGCCGCCAGCCCCGGCGCGGCCCGGGCTCCCGCACGGCCCCGGCCCGCAGCCCTGCCCGACCCAGGCGGCTCCCCCCGCCCGG